ACCCAGCTTCCCCAAATGTCTTTCTTTTTGGTGTCTATATACGCCGGGATCCAGAGTCATGGATGATCCTGCGCTCCTCTGTCCTGCATCGCGAGCCCTGGATCTTGAGTCGTGGCTGTGGTCCTGGATCATAGGTCCTGGATGGATATCCTCGTGGATTCATTTTCCTATTATACACACATGTATTTCCAAACATTTGGACTACCTATGTTGCAAATGTATTATCTTTTCAATTTACACACGGCATCTATTGCACGTCTGTCCGTCCTGGGAGAGGGATCCCTCCTCTGTTGCTCTCCCTGAGGTTTCTCCCATTTTCCCCTTTAAAACTGTGGGTTTTCTTTGGAAGTTTTTCCTTGTACGATGTGAGGGTCTAAGGACAGAGGGTGTCATATTGTCATACTGATATTTTGTACAAACTGTAAAGTCCACTGAGACAAATGTAACATTTGTGATATTGGGCTATATAAATAAACATTGATTGATTGATTGATTGATTGATTGATTGCTACTAGTACCCCTGGGGGTTCCCGTATCTCCGGTTGGAGATACGGGGACAACTCACTAGGACAACTCTATTTTTGGGACAGAGAGACCAAAGATATAAGAAATAGGAAATGAAAGTAGGGTAATTACCTCATGTAGCATTAAAGAGCCACGCTCAGTAACAAACTATAAAGCAACACATCTTTCTGTACTGTATGTGTGTCCTTCACATATCTCGAGAATCGTTCATCTGGTCTATTTTACCTTTGAAAGCTGTATTGCTGGGGACACAAGGGAGTGCTGTTTCAAATGTGATGCAACAGTCTTAGCAAATCCCTTTTTTACTGAATTCTCTTGGTCCAGACCAATGTGAGTCCAAATTTATTTTTCAGCAACTCTTTCTACACATTAAAAGGAATCATTGCCAAACCTGCAGAGCATCTGTGCAGTGTGCACAAAACAAACCTTTGGGATTTTTGATTTCCCATACAGTTTTCCTATGGTCCTCAAATGGAGCTGAATTGCTGTAGGCAGGGCTTATATTACAAAACTATCATAACTATTGAACGTTTTTCTTTAATTGCGACCACATTTGCTGGACGTGTAGAATAGATAACATACAAATACCAATATATGCGCTGTAAAAGTATTATCTAACTAAAGGAAGGAATTCCTGTTTGTTATCGATTTATGTATGACCAATCAATTTCACACGCAAGTGTTTTTCTGAAGACTGGTGGAGAGGACTGTGATATGTGTGATTTTAATCAGAGGGGCAGTTCTCGACAACTAAAACATGCACACAAGTTGGATGAAAATGTAAATTAATTATCAAATGTCATACAATCAATCACAACAGATGTTTGTACACAATTTGTAGGTAAATAAAGTTGCTGTGTTAATTCATATACAGGAAATGGTCTGAGAATGAGTGAAGCCATGTGTGTTCTCTGTTTGGTTTTGTAATTGAGCTCCTCCCTGACAAGCCACCCTCATCCATCATGAAGCTGACACTCGTCTGCTTCTCATTTTGTCTCCCCTTACCACTAATCTCTTTCTGTCTCTTTTGGCCTTTTTTAGGTTTTGTTTGCCGTTTATATTTTTGTGTGTTATTTTGTGCGCTGATATGCATATGTCAGGTTTAGCAATCAGTCTGGCGCCATCATCTCATCAGCATACAGGGGTATTGCACAGAGCTCGCACACAGAATCAACCTTGAACAATGAAACTTACAGAGTAATTCCTGTGGTTTCAACCTCACGTCCTCAGATATGACTTTTCCACCATGCCTATGGTTTCTCCTGGAGTTGAATTTTTTGTTTTTTAACCGAACCCTAAAGTATCCATGACTGAAAAATAGTTTGAGGCCAGAAAAACTGCTTTATTGAGACCTCTTAGCTCTGATACCTTGGGAGCAATGAAAAGGAGCATGTTTCACCAACAGCACTCAATCCTCTAACCTTATTTCTCTTTTTGTTCCGAGTGTGACACATTCAGTACAGGGACCACATGTTACATTTGTACACACAGGGGAGGTGGTTAGGCAAGCTGGATAGATTAAGTGTGGGACAGGGAGGAAGGACCCGTTTTTTGTTTAACCTAAAGGGCACAGGAAGCATGGCAGTTTCTCCACACAAAGGAAACCACTAACATAACGCTTTGGGTGACAATAAATTCCATGATAAAGGAGTTCATTCAAAAGATAAAGCAAAAACAAAACTTTTGATTAACATTTATGTTAAGAACCAAGAGAGATAAGCTTAAGTCCCATTGTATAAGAACATATAGTGGTCTCAGTTATGATAAGGAACCTATTACATTTCTAATAGATCAATACTCAAATAACTTAGAAAAATGTGAATCTTCAATTTTTGTAATGACTATAATTCATATATCTGTAGGTTTGAAGTTATATACTGTATTTAAACTCTAACACGGAAGCAGACTGCATTTCATATTGGCTGCTGATGCTACAATTCATTTTCTGGATTGGGTTAGTGTTTGCTTGCAAGTTAGCAGCTAACGCTAAAATTAACCTCGTCCACAGCTGGCTCCCATTAGCCTGCAACGACACTGAGAGCCTGTACTTCAACTCGTTCTCTCTGTAACACACACACACACACACACACGCACCGCACGCACACACACACACCACACACACACACACACACACACACACACACACACACACACACACACACACACACACACACCACACACACACACACACACACACCACACACACACACACACACACACACACACACACACACACACACACACACACACACACACACACATCCAGTTGCAAAGATTAACCTGGCTGCACTATCCTTATGGTTTGGCACTGTCTGTGTTTGAAAATGAAGGCGGGAAAGAGGGAGGAACGGAGGGGGAGAACGAAACGAGGGAGGGTAGAGGTGAGCGAAGGAGGGGAAAATGACGCGAGGGAGTGAGGGATACACCATGGTAACGAGAATGTAAGATAAAAAATAAAATTTAAAGAGGGAAGCCTGGATGAATGGAGGAGACAATAGTGTGGATGTCTGTACAAAATACCACGAGAATAAAGATACACAAGCAAAAGAAGGGAAGCTGAACGAAATGTGTGTGGTTTAGCTGTGACAGTAATTAAGAGAAGAAGTTGCAACGTACACAGATCTCTGCCACGGCCTGACAGTTGTTGTCTACAGGGAGGTCCAGTGGGATGTGTGTGTATATGTATGTATGTGTGTGTGTGTGTGTGTGTGTGTGTGTGTGTGTGTGTGTGTGTGTGTGTGTGTGTGTGTGTGTGTGTGTGTGTGTGTGTGTGTGAAATTGAAGCTGGAATCCTTTTTGCAGGATCCTTTTTACACCTATGCACTATTACACGGCTCTAGGCTCTGTACTGGAGCGACTTAATGAAGTTGTACACTTTCTACTAAACAGTATTTCTTGCCTGTCCTTCTATCCTTTATCCATGTAAAGCAAACAAAAAAGCACATAAGAAAAGCCTGAAACTGTGTACTTTTAGTGTCTTTTAGCCTAGCTTCATGAAAAAGAGCGTTTAATATCTGGCGAAACGTGTTGAGAATCGCTGCTGCCCTAACAGAACCACTTTGAAACTGCTTTACATTGACGACTCCTAAACTCATTAAAACTTCATAGTTCTGTGAGCACCATTGAGGTGACAAAGAAGAAAGTATCATGTTACACACAAACACACATACATGCATACTTCTCACTGGCTGCCACTGCACCATAAAAATATTGTGCTACCAAAAAAGCCCATACACACAAACACACATACTTTTCCCAACCATCGTGGCACTTGTGTTAAATAATTAACGGTGTGAGATTAGTCCGTCAGCCTTGGGGCATGGAGGTCCATCGATTCCCCAGAATGCATTTTTAATGAGCCGCCAGCCGGCATTCATTTCAGCTGGCCAGTGACACCACAACACACACACACACACACACACACACACACACACACACACACACACACACACACACACACACACACACACACACACACACACACACACACACACACACACACACACACAAGTCCAGGCTTAGCGCCAGGGGAGACAATTAACATACACATAAACACAACAGCAGCAGCACCACCACCACCACCACTGTTCAGTGGATATCACCTTGACAACAACTTCAGACCCATCTTCTGAGCTCTTTAAGTTGTTTAACTTTGATCTTGATTAAGAACAAGCAACTTACCAAGAAGCTCAGCAGGGATTTCACCGGTGTGATTGGGATCACCATATTTCAGAGTATGTTTGATGGATAATAGGAGACAACGAAGAGACCAGAAATTACCCAGCATGTGTACTGGGACCAATCTCTGGGGCTGAAAAAAGTAGCTTTTGTGGAAGTGCCAAAAAACAAAGTTTCTTCAATTGCCATTTAAGAGCTGGCTCCAAAAAGGATCAATCTACGACTATTATGTCAAAATATCCCATTTAACAACAATAAACTTGCACTAACAAACATCTATTTAACACCAGTGAGATGGATCCCTCGTCTGTCGCTATCCACATGGTCTCTTTTCTTTTTCCTTGTTTATTGTTAAGTTTCTCTAAACTCTAAATGTGATTGATTTGTCTACAACGTGGAACAAAAATATAGATAATTCCTCAGTTCTTGACAACTGTAAATCTAATACACTTTTTATTACTCATCTGTTTGTTTGAATTGGAATAAGGCTTAAAGTGAACAAACACATTGACATGTTCATTAGGTTGTTTGTCTCCATTAGGCGGGTGGAAATTCATTTTCATTTCATAACATGAAAGAGGAAAAGAGAGCCAAAGAACAGACAAAGATATATGTGTTTCTTCAAATGCTGTCATGTGTTCAAACAAAGGATGAATCAAGCACACATGACTAAAGCCATGAGCAAAACAGCAAAGACATTTTCAAATCCAATCTCTCTGCTGCAACTCAGACCATATGACCATTGCAAAAGGTGAAGAGCAACAGATATGTGTGTGCTTATCTTGCACTTGTCCTACCTTTCCCGTCTCTCTCTCGAAGTCAACATACTCCCTCGCAGGAACCTGCCTCTGATCTCCGAGCAGGTTGGCTGCAAAGAACTGTAGAGAGAGGTTTGTACCTGTAGCTACAAAGGCCTGGAGAGGGAGAGAGAAAAAATGGAGAGAAAATAATATCAGTAAAAAGGACAGTAAAGAGCAGTTTCCAGAAAAGCTGCATTAGTGATATATGACCGTTATGGGGCAGAACAATTCAAATATAAACTCACAAACACAGCCTGATATACTATTTGCTTTTTAAGGTATTTTGGCTGATGTCTTGAAAGTCACTTTCATTACACTATCATTTTAGATCTGTGTTGGTGTTTTAGGCTCTCGTCATCTCACACCTTGACTACTGCAACTCCCTCCTGGCTGGTCTACCTGCAAATGCCTCCCGACCTCTACAGCTCTACTTTGCTCCCTTCACTGGCTTCACTGGCTGCTTCAAGACACTGCTACTGTGAAGGGATCAGCCCCTTCCTACATCCAGGCCTTGGTTAAACCATACATTTCAACACGTGCACTTCACTCTGCTTCAGCCAATCTGCATGCTACTCAATCACTGCTAGTGGGACCCAGGTACCCTTCAAAATCCCGCCTGTTTGCTATCCTGGCTCCTAAATGGTGGAATGAGCTCTGCAGGACAGCAGACACTCTGCATATCTTCCGTTGCAAACTGAAAACCCAACCTTCTTTGAAAAAAGAAAAGAGTTAGGCCTTGTAACTAATTTACCAGCACTAACAATGGTATGACTTGAAGTGAATATATCTGCTCTTTCCTTGTTGTTCGGAGTTTGAATCTTTATGGTTATTGCACTTATTCTGAGTGGCTTTGGATAGAAGCGTCGGCCAAATGAAATGTATCCACCAAAGTCTCTTCAGCTGCTTGGACCGTGGACTTTTAGCTCTTGCTCTTTTATTGTGCTCAGAAACAGATGCTCTGCTTATGGTTGCTGATGAGAGCTTTGAGAGTCAAACACAGTCTATGCACAGTTGGAGAACCGATGGGCGTAAAAGCTGCAGAGTGGGGCGTGATGTATTGGGTTCAGCCCTATGAATCACTCTCTATACTGTACATGAATATCAAACTCAGTTATATAAGAAGGAATATTACGCAGCCATTTTTTGTTTTTTTAACATTATTTTAAGGGCTAGTTTTCAGTTTAATTAACCTACTGATTATTTTCTAAATTGTTTAGTTCACAAAATCTTAGTTGATCAAAACTTTTTATTGTTTCAATTATAACCAAATAATTTTCTCTTTTTTAAAATGGCTCAAATTATGCATTTTATATAATAGTTTTTGGGATAAGAAAACGCAAAGAATGAACACATCGCTGAGTTTCTTTGCCATCACCTTTTTGTAATATATTTTTCGCCAGGATTAATATTTTAACTTCTACATGCCAGGTTTCTGGGAGAGTTAAACATTTTGTCGATCAAAGTTGTTATTTCTCTCCTTTCTTTAACCCTTCAATTTTTCCTCTCTTGTTCTGACCATGAAATTACCACTTCCTTCTAAAACAGAGTGCAAAAGCACTGTCAAAACACACACACACACACACACACACACACACACACACACACACACACACACACACACACACACACACCACACACACACACCACACACACACACACACACACACACACACACACACACACACACACACACACACACACACACACACACACACACACACATTACATTGACTTACATGCATTTCCTGGAGACTTATCCTAACCTTAACCATAACCAACACATACCTAACCCTTACCCTTAACCTAACCCTAAACCTAACCAAGTCCTCCAATTTGTCCCCATAAGGGAGGCGAGTCCCCACACTAACGTGTAAACAGATGTAGGTCCCCACAAGTATAGTAATTCTAGGCCACACACACACACACACACACACACACACACACACACACACACACACACACACACACACACACACATCATACTGTAGCTTTCCTCATTTTTTGATTTCTGTAAAATGGCTTCTTGCTCTAATGGGAGGCATTTCCATTATGATAAACACACACACACACACAAACACACACACACACACACACACACTTAGAGAAAAACAAATAAAATGAAAATCAATGGAATGCATTGCCCTGTTGCAGTCAGAAGGCAATGAATTACATCGAAGCAGAAAATCAAGTTAGAAATGTTTGTTTTGTATGCGCATCTGTGTGTGGTGTGTGTGTGTGTGTGTGTGTGTGTGTGTGTGTGTGTGTGTGGGTGTGTGTGTGTGTGTGTGTGTGTGTGTGTGTGTGTGTGTGTGTGTGTGTGTGTGTGTGTGTGTGTGTGTGTGTGTGCTGTGCTAAGACGGATCAATACTAATGACATTAGGGCTGCGACTAAGCTGGAAGCATATGAATTATGCACCCTGTCAAATCTGTGAGAGAACAAGAGAAAAGTGAATGAAAGAGAATAAGGACAAAACAATGGAGAGTGGAAGAACGGGAAATAAAGGAGGAAAAAGCTTGACAATGTGTGTACATGGACACACACAAAGAGAAAAGTCGCTCATACATACACACTCACGGAAACAAGAGCTCAAAGAACACAGAGTCATCATTTTGTGCTGTATTTGAAGTATTGGATTACAACCATCTGATACTCATTTCTGCCTACTACTGCTGGGAGGGGGAAAAAAGAGGGGAAGAGCGGCAGAGACACGAGAGAGATGGAGGGAAACTGACAGACAAAGGAGGATAAAGCAAGGGGGAGAAATTAAGGAAATTAGAAATAGGGACAGAAATGGAGGGAAAAAGGGCGACCGTGGTAAAAGCAGCAGATTGTGAAGTGAAAACGAGAGAGAGAGGAAATAACTTTGAGGTATGGAATTGAGACAAAGAATAAGGGGCAAGAGGAAAAAGTAGTGAACAAAGAAAGAGGGAGATGGTATAAGAGAGGAGGGGGGAGACCAGGGCAGCATGGGAATCAATAGCAGTTTGGAAAGCAACTCATCTATAATGAGCTGAAGATAATTGACTTTGAATTATTGTTCCATTTATCAGATCAATCTTGAACAGTTAGAGTCATCCTGTGATTACAGCTACATGTGTGTGTGTGTGTGTGTGTGTGTGTGTGTGTGTGTGTGTGTGTGTGTGTGTGTGTGTGTGTGTGTGCGCTTGCGTGCGTGGTGTGTGTGTGTGTGTGTGTGCGAACATTGGGGAGATTCCTAATAATAAAAAGCTCAGCTAACATGACAGGTATATGGTAAGAAATAAGGCAAAAAAACGTTTTATTTTTTACAATATTGTATCATATTTTAAAACATTTAGAATGCAGAGTTATTGTTTATTTTAGCCAACAAAATTCCCTTAGTCAATAATAAAAACGCTGTAGAGAAAACCATGAAATGTAAAATAATTAAAATTGTAATAACTTATTACTACTTCCATTACTACTTCCATTTAACATGTGTATAAAGTCCCTTTTGAAACATGGCTTCCAGACTAGTTGTGATGTCATGACATACACATCTTTAAGTGACCTAAGGCCGCTGTAAAATTGTCGAACAGGTTTGATATCTATCCAAACAACGGACCAGACTGGTATACAGAATTGTATCACAAGGTGTCCCACTTAATTCAATGGCTCGTCGACCAAAAATTGGTGGAGCGGCGTGTCGCTAAAATAAGAATAGATGGTCGAGCTTTATGGTCAGTCCACCTTAAGCGAGCCAGGCTGTGGTCGCTAGCTTCAGGGCTAACCACTTTCAGGGCTAACCACCTTCACTATTAACAGCAGGTGGAAACCAAAGTACGGGAGTTTAGCTTAGGTCATGAGTACCATCAAATGTACAGACGGGCCACCAGGCTGTCACCAAATGCTGTCTTGCCTCATCACTCCAAAAAGTACATGAACTCTCTAGTACACAATGTCTTCCTCTCTCCCAACTCTAATGAAATGTGACCACCGTCATGTTGCCGGCCTTGGCTTGGCAGAAAATCCGGCCAACGCCTGGCCTGTCAGACACTAGCGCCTTTGTTAGTTTGTTAATAGACAAACATTATATATTTTTAATCATGTTTTCATATTGCATTTTGCTACTGCAATACAAGTTGCATTAAAGCACTATGACACTTTCGGCATGTTGTCAATGTAGGATACTTTTTTATTTGCCAAAACGTGTCATAATGAAAACTGCGGGGTCAGCCGTTTGCATACAATTAAACTGTTAGAGCTAATAGCGGACCTGGCATGCAAAAGCGGAAACCCCCAACTTTAGGTTTACTCTGAAAAAACGTTCCCTCTTTAGAAGGTGAATGTCAAAACGGTCTTTAAGTGTCAAAATCTGCATATGCATCTTTAAGCATCCATGTGAAGAAACGACAAACAAAACACTGTATTGACTGAGGAAGGATGTTAAACATTAACAATTCAGTATTATACTAAATGGTACCCATTTTTTTTTACAGTTTTTTGTTTTCTGCTCCGTTTCCTCTAAAAAAAGAAGTCTTTGACAGCACGTTCGGGTCTCATTGTGCCGGGTAGTCGTTCACACTGACCATGAAAATAGCAGGCATCTGGCCGATAGATAAATCAGCAACATAATTTCACAGCTGCCGTCAAACCGGTTAAACTGGGGCCATCAATTTTCACAGAAGAGGCTTATAATACAGTGAGGACAGACAGACGGACGGACGCATCATGTCCCACTAAAATATGGTAAATCTAGATGTGTCCCCCCCCCTCCTGGGATGATGACAGCATGTTTGGGAAAATACCTCGAGGATGACTAAGACAGTAGAAGTCGCCCCCATGTTTGTGTCGTTAGCCTGAAGGCTCTACGCTTCACTTCGATAGAAAGATCTTAGCAGGCCACACAGAGTAATTAAATAATGTGATTGTAAACATGTCCCATCTTGCTCTTAAGTTATAAACTGCACATCAAAATGCGACACACTGATTATTTAAGAAGACAAAAAAGGTCACATGGGTTCACTTGGAGGAAATAAAGCTCACCACTGCAGAGAATTAGTGGAGACAGAAAGACATGCAGACGTGTTGAAGTCGACATGTATCTCCTGGCAGAACTTACTCTGCAAATGAATGATGATCTTGTAAAATATGATGCATTGTTATACAGTAAACAATCTATAAATGATGCTAACGTGTGCATGAGTATTAATAAACCAGAAGTACAATGTAAAAAAATACAATTCTGACAGAGACCATTTTGCCTGCATAACCTACTGCGTATTGTTTTATTTATTTTTTTGATAGATTTTGAAAACATAACTTTAACTTGTAATGAATCATATTTTAAACAGTAGTTTTCACATTGGATAAAAGAGCTCACATCAGCTCATTTGCTTTTTGAAAGCTTCAAATTGAAAATGTGATCCGAGGCAAATCGAAGACGCAGCTAGAGAAGTGTGGTCTGGAAATGGAGGGAGACACTTTGCCACAAACTATCTCTCACTGCAACAACTATGTGATGGCTGCCCTGGATGAAAACAAAGAGAAACACTGCAGATTTCTAATCCAACACTACACCACATCTAGCGACAAATCTTCGTCCAAAATCACAGCAAAAACAGCTTGAGTCCAAACAAAGATAGGACTATGACTAATTATTATTTTCAATATTGATTAATCTGCAATTATTTCAATCAATAAAAGTGAAAAAGTTGCCTGTCACAACTTCAAACCTGATGTGATATCTTATTTAGTTATTTTTTTAAACTAACAGCTCAAATAAATTCAGTTTACAATCATATTACACAAAGAAAAGCAGCTTATCTTCGCAATTGAGAAGCTGAAACGTGATATAATAGTGCAAGAATAGGATCAATTTATAATCAAAATATTTGCAACTTGATTCAATGTTTCAGCTCCAAACTAAAATCACGCATTTAAGAAATAGCAGTATTTATAGGGCTAAATTGCATTTGTAAGCATCAGAAAGGTGTTGTCTTGTATCTTCCTGTTCACTAACTGTCTATCGCAAATTAGACATGACAGGTAATGTTTATGTTACGGTGCACAATTTTAGGCACAAAATTACAGCCCTAGGAGTGTTGTAAACCATAAAGTGCCTGTTTGTTAACATGTGCTAATGTGTGCTGAGGCGATGATGGCAGCCGCATAACGTAGAGGAAAGAAGTCTGGGTCTGCATGTCTGATAACACGTCTACTTCCTCTTGAAGCAGGGACACATCACACACACACACACACACACACACACACACACACACACACACACACACACACACACACACACACACAGTGTACAATGTATACAGTACACTGCTGCACATAGTGTTCTCATAATAAGAGTTAATGTGTATTTTACATTGGGGACCGCCAGATTCATAATTGCTGTTGAAGATGGTTATTTCATTTCATGAGTTGTGCCAGTGTGTTTTTACTTTATGTAATTTTCCGATTGTTTTCAAAGAGTATACAAAAAAAGAAAAGGATACATTTAGTTTTCTACTCACTATTTCTGATCGTCCATCCCTGCTAGCGTTCTGGAAGCGAGCTTGTCTCTCCTCATGGGGCCGGTCCCTGAACCCAGTGTATTTAATCTACAAAGAGAAGAGAAAACAAACCATAAACAACAAATACATTTATTTTTAGTCTACTTCAGGTGTTTGATTTTGGCTAGAAAACACTCCAAATAGATAGGGGATATTTGGCCTTGAATGACGATGCTCATTGCCATCAGGAGGCTGCAGTTTACAGATAAGCCACAGGAATTTTGATTTAAGGCAAAAGGCACCATTATTTTTCCTCTGCTCTTCTTTAAAAAGATCTGTCCAATTGTATGATGAGAGGATTTAAAAAAAATTGGCTTTATTATTTGTGAGTATATATACACAATGAAAGAATATAAGATTAATAAGTGAAAAAGTCAAACAGAAATCTACTTCATAATGTCAGATGGAGACTTATTGCACGTTTGAATTAAACAATTCTGCTTTGGGGATTTTCTTCAACTGTAGATGTTGTAGCACTGAAGCAATGAATTGAAAAATATATATAAAACAAAAAATAAATCGACAAGCCAGCATGCCTCTTCTAGGTCTGTATTTCCGCCGTCTAGAATGGACCCAGTGTAGGAGAAACAGACTCACCTCACACTCCCTGCTCAACTTGCGGAAAAACTCCTCATTCTCAAACTTGCTCCTCTGGTCCGGGACTACCCGCGGCATCTTCACCAACACTTTCTCTTCAGTTTCAGCCAAATCTCTTTTATTATCCCGCACAGTAAAACTTCCGCTGCTCGTCTTGCCGTCCGTCCCTCATTCACTTCTCTTCCGTGTTTGTGTGTTCCTTGTCTGTGCAGCAATGTGCTCTCTTACTGCTGCTCTTATTATGATGGTCTGGGTCGTTCTGCGGCTCCTGAGCGCTCCGTGGTCGCCTCTGGCTCCAAGTGGCTCTTTCTGAGTGACCCAGCGCGAGAGACAAAGCTCAGTTTCACCCGTGTGGCTCTGTCTCCTCTCCCTCCCTCTCTTCCTCTATGTCTCTCCACCTCTCTCTCTTCACGAGCGTGTGATCTCAAGTGGCAACGACGAGCGCGCTCTCTCTCTCCTCTACCTGCAACTTTCAAGTGCCCTCTCCACCTTGGCCTGTCGATTATTTACGCAATAATTCAAATTGTGACACTAATAGACCTAATGCATGAATACATATAGTCCATAAAGTGACGTATTACATTAAACAAACAAATGGCACAGATATGTTTGTTCTTTGTTGGCAGCTTTTATTTATTAAGTCTAAATAAAGACTATTAAATCATTAAGACATTAAGTCTAAAGTTGCAGCCAACAAACAAATATACATTTCACGTAATTTAGCTAATAAAAATGCCTCTTAATTATGGCTAAAACTTAATGAAAAGAAATTGCACAAACAATAGTTTAAAAATACAACGTAACACCATACAAATAGTTTTGCTCCAGTTCATGTTTCCAGCTGTTGTTGATATGGCAACTAATCTCTGTAATCTCTTTTTCATGTCACACTTTGTAACACTTCAGAGGCTCGTTTTAACACAGAGCTGCTAAAACTCAAAATGTCGACAATTCCTAAAGTACATGAAGGCATCAACAGTCTACTTCCTGGCTCCGTCGAGTCGCTCTTGTGACTGTACACCCTGAATACCGCCCCCTCCCCCCCATTCACAATAATAATACTACTACACACGTTACTCGGGGCTGCCACTGCGCATGCGTGACACGGACCGCAGAAACTTTATGGGATCCTTATGTGAGGAGTGAACGAAAGAGGGGAGAGCGTGAAGAGGAGGGGGAGGAAAGACTGTGTTGGTGTTTCAATGATCAACTAAATCCTGCAGTAATCCTAAAAATCCTCCAGAATGTGGAGATTTGGAGAAGAGGATGTTGTTTAAATATAGGAATGTATCAAGTAGATTGTGTTAGTGTTGTAATACATTTATGAGACATTTGGTTTTTATTTTTTAAGAAATATTGTTAGTAATTAAATAAACTCCATCCTGCCATTTTGGAAATGTAAATGGTTTTATTGTCTGTTTTAAAAACTTTCCAGGATATTTTACCCCAGGACATTGAACTCCATTTCTGGTTTACATCTGACAAAACTCACTGCCAACCATTTCATAGGCCTTGTGATGTTTAAAGGAATGTGCTAGCTACATTATATAAATAAATTCCATCCCTTACACATGTATTAGTATACTATTGTACTTTGGGTAGTAGGAACTACAATTTCTTCAAATCGTTAGACTTGGTTCTGGTTCGGTCTCAAGTGGTGCTCTTGCAAAGTGTATCTGTTAAATGCTTTGTTTTTCCCCAGCCAGGGTTTCCCAGCATTAAAACTGCAGACAGACGCAGTTAGAAACTGGCTTAAGCATGAAGCAAATAAAGAGCAAGATATTTCCTCAGCAGTTGGTAAAGAACAACAACAGAGCTGAAAGACAGAGAATATTAAAATTATATACATTATCACCAGAAGCACCACTCCAAATAAATGATTATTTCATCCTGTAACTGCTGAATGAAAATAATCTCCTGTTTTCTAGCATGTCCAAAAAGGAGTTATGGCAGATGTAAATAACATTTTGAATGCAATAGGCCACCTGTAAAAGTGTACACAGTGCATTGTAAGTAAATAACATTAGTTATTTCCCATACCACTGTCAATATGGGACATTCTGCTTTTGTCACAGTACTCATTTTGACTTGTAATTGAAATGTGGTTGCTTTGGCAAAATGACTTTGAGATACAAAGCACAATAATCAAATTCTTTAGGGGAATTATAAATTCACTCAATGTAGGAAATGGTTTGAAAATGTGTTTTCTAACTTATTTGAATTTGTATAGATTTGAAATACATTAAAAACCTTTATTCATTCACACAGTGATCATTGTATCTCACAGCACTACAGCTGAGACATATTGGCCCTTGCAACATAATGAGGAATGAATGTTTGATTATGCAATGATCAGGTGGACAAAAACACGCCCCTGAAATAGCACAGCTCTTTTCTTTGTATCAAAACAAACACAAGAGTAAATATGACTATTAGACCTCCACAGGAGTTTCATTATCACCTAGACAGATCTTAATTGAACTATGAACAAGAAAAAAAATAGTATAGTGTGTGTGTGTGTGTGTGTGTGTGTGTGGGTGTGTGTGTGTGTGTGTGTACATTCACATACAATTATTCTGAGTTGTGACATGTTTTGTTGTTTGTTCTGCTGGTGTTAGGGCTGTCTGTGTGTTTGGAGAGACTAACTAGTGAAATGCATGTTTGTATCAGAGATCCCATGAGACAACAGAAAAGAAAAAATGAAATGCAAAAACTATAGAAGGGAAATGGTTGGCCAGCCGTTCATTTTAGTGAAAAGATTCTGGTGTGGAGCCCTCCAAAACCAAGCACTCTCCACTCCGAATGGAAAAAAGAACGAACCACTGAATGCCAGAATCAAGTATTCAACTAAGACACCAGCTTCCATAACGATAACAGAGGAGACTATGCATTTATTGCATTCTTAGACTGTTCCTAAAACCTAGTATGTTATGTAAGATTCGCTATTTGTTTGAAACTAAATATTTTGTTCTGCCTACTTGTAGTTCTTCTGTAAAATGCTTCATGTTTTAATCATTGCTGTTAATTCGAGTCCTCAGGCTAGAGCATATGCTCTGAACCCCTTAAAGAAAAATAAACGTTCCTTTTATGGTACATGTCATTGATTTTTGCCGAACCTTCTTTCATTCAGACGAGGGCTGAGGTTCACACAGAGCTCACTTCTTGCCTCAAACCGGCCATGTGTGTGTGTGTTAGCTGCAGGCCAAACAGTGTGTGAGTGATTACCAACAGTAGCTGGTGATGCAGTAAAAGGCTCATTAATTAATTAGATCATCTGTGGTTGCCATGGCGAATAGTTCTGACATGCAGTCTGCTCTCATCTCCACACAGCACACTGAGCACAGCTCCCTTAAGTTCACCTTGTTTTCTTTTAAAGTCTCACATTCTAATAGGTTAACTTTGTCCATATTATACTTTAAACATACATTTGCATCAATGCTTACTTTTAAGTGGCAACTTATGAAGTAAATGTCTGTTACACAATATTATGGATAAAGAATATTGCCATCTGAGATGAGATTTGTTCCCAGAAAGACTTGCCTTCACTATTATCTCTGCCTTTGGGTGAATCTCCCGGTAAAATCAAGGTTCCATGTACAGCAAAAAAGCTGTGGACATTTTTTTTTTCTTCAAGTCAAACAAAGTCAACACACTGTTGAATGATGTGAAGATGAACTGCACATCTGTGTCAGTGAAATACCATTAACATGGATTAGTGGACGGAAAGCTAGATTTCCTGTTTCCCGGAAAATAATGCTGGAATAACACTGACACATGGAGGCTGAGTGGCTCTTTAGCTACAGTCCATTGGTTATAGTAAAATATATTCCTAATTCATTGTGTTGATTTTTGGTTAAAAAAAAAAAGCCATTCTCTCTAAATGAGACATTCAAAAAAGCTATATGATGTATTTTTTTTAGGGGCGACTGTGGCTGCGAGGGAGTGCGGTCGTCTTGCAACCAGAAGGTTGTGGGTTCGATCCCAGCACATGCAGTCAACATGTCGATGTATCCATGGGCAAGATACTTAACCCTGAGTTGCTCCCAATGGCATGGCCAACGGTGTGTGAATGTGTATGTAGTATATAAAGCGCTTTGAGGGGTCTTAAAGACTGGATAAAGCCCTATATAAGTACAGTCCATTTAACATTTTCAAAATCAGTCGTATTCACACTGGAGAAAAACCATACAGCTGTGAAGAGTGTGGAAACACTTTCACCACATCAGGTGGTCTCAAAAAACATTGTCGTATTCACACTGGAGAAAAACCATACAGCAAGTCCAAGAGTATTGGTAAATCCCATCCCAGGATTGCATCAACCGGCAAGTTCTGTACCACCCCCACACTCAAGTATGATTGTCCATCAATGATCACGGATATGTCCGCTTTGGGATAGGGATGCGTGTCCCCTTGAACACACAAAATGTCTGTTTGTCTGCTGTAGTCCATAGCTCCAATCGGCACAAGTCTTTGCTTCACTAGAGACATGAAGCTACCAGTATCCAACAAAGCAGTGACCTGCTGGCCACTAACAGTGACAGCTTTATGACGTTGAACACGTTCCTCTTGATCCCCAACTCTGCCCGGGGTGCATAGCAAGCGCCTGTGACCTTAGCTTTGCGTAGGGGACACACAGAAGCTATGTGGCCTGGCTGATGGCAGTAATAGCAAATGAAATCCTTACCAGCACCTTGTTGGTTTGGGGCAGTGCTAGGATATCCTGAGAACTCTGGTCGATTCTCTCTCTTTGCAGGCCTGGGCTGGAGTGCTGGTTGGGGTGTAAAAGTGGTTGAGCGTGCAGGTGGTCCTTCTCTGCGGGCGTTGATGTACTGGAGCGCCAGCTTGGCAGCCGCAAGACCCTCTGTAGGCTCATGCTCTTTCACCCAGGTCCTCACCTCTGGTGGGAGTATCCGAAGCATCTGCTCCAAGATGATGGCCTCTGCAATTTCCTCCTTGGTGTGCTGCTCTGGCCGAATCCAGCGCCAGGAGAGACCTTTAAGGTGATGGTAGGTCTCGATGGGGCTCTCTTCAGACGGTACCACCATGGACCGGAACTGCTCCCGATACATCTGTCGAACTTTGTCAGCAACGCTTCTCTCAGGTCTCTATAGCAGTGGGCTCTCTCCTCGTCCATTGCAGTATAGGCCTCCAATGCCTTCCCTGATAGCAGTGGAATGAGCCGGCATGCCCACTCCCTTTCTGGCCACCTGCACGTTTTGGCAATGCGCTCAAACCGCAATAAATAGTTCTCAATGTCCTCACCGCACTGGTACTGTGGAATTTCTGGCTCCGCATAGTGCCTCCACTCAGGCGTTGGCTGATCAGGCTGGCTATTGGAGTCCGATTGAGGAAACGGATTACCAACTGGAACAGAAGTCCGTAGGTCTCGGAGCTCTGCCAACAGGAACTCCT